TTACAAATAGCAGGAAAACCATGTCTGATACAGTGTCAGAAGATGAGCCCTTCAGGTTGGAAGGCACTGAAAATATGACTGGGGAAGAGCTGCCTCCTCAAAGCAGAGTGAACCTTTATTATGTGGATGGAGTATAACTTTCGGGACCTTCATTTGCTGATGGGGCATGACTCAAAATGGGAAGAAACTGCAAACATTCACTAATAATTAGAACATGGAATGCACAAAGCATGAATCTAGGAAAATTAGAAGTTCTCAAAAATGAAATGGAACACATAAAGATCAATATCCTAGGCATTAGTTAGCTGAAATGGACTGAATTGGACAATCATATGGTCTACTATGCTGGGAATGACAAATTAAAGAGAAATGGCATTGCATTAATTGTCAAAAAGGACATTTTAAGATCTATCCTGAAGTACAGTGCTGTCAGTGATAGGAAAATGTCCATACTTCTAGAAGGAAGACCAGTTAATACTACCATCATTCAAATTTTTGTATCAACCATTAAAGCCAAAGATAAAGAAATTGAAGATTTTTACCAACTTCTGCAGTCTGCAATTGACCAAACATGCAATCAAGATGTATTGATAATTATTGGTGATTGGAATGCAACAATTGGAAACAAAGAAGCATTAGCAGTAGGAAAATATGGCCTTGGTGATGGAAATGACACTGGAGACCCCATGATAGAATTTTGCATGACTAATGACTTATTCATTGCAAATACCTTTTGTCAACAACATAAATGGTGACTACACACATGGATCTCACCAGATGGAGTACAGAGGAATCAAATCGACTACATCTGTGGAAAGAGACAGTGGAGAAGCTCAGTATCATCAGTCACAATAAGGCCAGAGCCAACTGTGGAACAGACCATCAATGGCTCATATGCAAGTTTAAGTTAAAGCTGAAGAAAATTAAAACAAGTCTACAAAAGCCAGAATACAACCTTGAGTATAGCCCACCTGAATTTAGAGATCACATGAAGAACAGATTTGATGCACCGAACACCAGTGACCAAAGACCAGACACATTGTAGATGACATCAAAGACATCATACATGAAGAAGGCATAATGTCATTAAAAAGACAAGAAAGGAAGAGATGAGCAAAATGAATGTCAGAAGACAATCTGAAACTCGGACTTGAATGGAGATCAGCTAAAGCAATTGGAAGAAATGATGAAGAAAAAGAGCTGAACAGAAGTTTTCAAAAGGCACCTTGAGAGGACAAAGTAAAGCATTATAATGAAATGTGCAAAGACCTGGAGTTGGACAATCAAAGGGGAAGAACATGTTCAGCATTCCTGAAGCTGAAAGAACTAAAGAAAAAATTCAAGCCTCAAGTTGCAATACTGAAGGGTTCTATGGGCAAAATATTGAATGATGTAGGAAGCATCAAAAGATGGAAGGGATATACAGTTACTATACCAAAAAGAATTAGTCAACATTCAACCATTTCAGGAGGTAGCATATGATCAAGAACCAATGGTATTTTTAAAAATTATTTATTTAAATTTTTATTGTGATTTGGGTGAAAGTTTATGGAAAAAAATCATTTTTTTTCTACAGCAATTTCTACACATTTTGTTTCATGACATTGACTGCAGTCTCCACCATGGAATAGCTCTCTTCCCACTTCCTCCCAGTAGTTATCTCTTCCCTGTGTCCTTCTTTCCTATGCATTCCTGCCCCTTGAGCTATTTCCCTGTGCAAATATTGCCCTTCTGTTCCCCATGACTGATTATTCTAAGGAGTGTATCTACTTGGGGAAAATGTTCACCCTATATGCCTGTCTATTGCTTGGCTGGAAGCCATGGGATTGAGTTCATTTCCAGGTGTGAAGGGTAACTAGGGGCCATAGTCTTGTGGGTTTCACCAGACTCACTCAGACCAGTAAACCTGGTCTTTTTTTATAATTTTGTTCCACATTGCTCTCCTATGCTATCCAGGATCTCTTGCACTGATCCCTTTCCAAGTGGTTGACGGTGGTAGCTGGGCACCTTCTAGTTCTGGTCTCATGGTTACATAGACTAAGGTATGCATGGTCCACTAGTCCCTTAGATTAGCTGTTTCCATGTGTCTTTGGTTTTCTTCATTCTTCTTCGCTTCAGACGAGGAGAAAACAATTGTTGGATCTAGATGGCCACTTGCAAGTTTTTAATAAAAAAAATTTATTATAATTTGGGTGAAAATTTACAGAGAAAATTCATTTTCTATACAGCAGTTCATACACATTTTGTCTCATGGCATTTACTGCAATTCCCCACACTGTAACAGCTCTCTTCCTACTTCCTTCCTGCAGTTACCTCTTCCCTGTGTCCTTCTTTCCTATGCATTCCTGTCCCTTGAGTTATCACCCTCTGCAAATACTGCCCTTCTTTTCTCCCAAGTTTGATGGTTCTAAGGAGTATATCTAACTGATGTAAATGTTCATCCTATATGCCTATTGTTTTGCTGGAAGCCATGGGAGTGAGTTTCCAGACCTGAAGGATAACTAGGGGCCATAGTCTGTAACAGACCAGTAAACCTGGTCTTTTCTATGATTTTGAATTTTGTTCCATATTATTCCCGCACTCTATCCAGGATTTCCTACAATGATCCCTTTTCAAGTAGTTGACAGTGGTAGCCAGGCACCATCTAGTTCTTCCGGTCTCATGGTTATATAGACTAAGGTTCACATGGTCTACTGGTCTTTTGGACTAATTGTTTCCATGTGTCCTTGGTTTTCATCATTCTTCTTTGCTTGGATGAGGAGAGACCCATTGTTGCATCCAGATAGCTGCTTGCAAGCTTTTAAGACCCCACTTGCTACTCACTAAAGTAGGATGTAAAACAATGCTTTTTTGCAGTATGTTATGCCAGTTGAGCTTAATGTCCCCTGTGACCATGGGCCCAAGCCCAAAGGTCCAGCTACTCAACCCTCAGGGTGGTTGGCTGTGCCTAAGAAGTTATCATAACTTTGTCCCATTAGTTCTATTTATATGGACTTTCATATAACACATACAAATACATATGTAGAAATATCAAAAACCAATGGTATTGAAGGAAGAAGTTCAGCCTGCTCTGAAGGAAAGGGTGAAAAAAAAGCTCCAGGAATTGATGGAGTACCCATTGAGATGTTTCAACAAATGGATGCAGCACTGGAGGCACTCATTTGTTTATGCCAAGAAATTTGGAAAACAGCTGTCTGGTGAACTGTCTGGAAGAGATCTTTATTTGTGTCCATGTCAAAGAAAAGTGATCCCACAGAATGTGGAAATTATGAAACGATATCATTAACATTGTACAGAAATTCAAGCCAGATCCAGAAGAGGTGTGGAATGAGGGATATAATTGCTGATGTCAGATGGATCTTGGCTGAAAGCAAAGCAAGATATTTACTTGTGTTTTATTGACTATGCAAAGGGCTTCAACTGTGTGGATCATAACAAAACATAGATAATATTGCAAAAAAAATAGGAATTCCAGAAAACTTCATTGTGTTCATGAAGAACTTGTACATAGACCAAGAGCCAGTCATTCGAACAGAATAGGGGATAGTGCACAGTTGAAAATCAGGAAAGGTATGTGTCAGGGGTGTACCCTTTCACCATATTTAGTCAATCTGTATGCTGAGCAAATAATCAGAGAAGTTGGACTATGTGAAGAATACTGCATCAAGATTGGGGAAGGACTCATTAACAACCTGTGATATGCAGATGACACAACCTTGCTTGCTGAAAGTGAAGAGAACTTGAAGGACTTACTGATAAGTATTAGACTATAGTCTTCAGTATAGATTACAACTGAATATAAAGAAACAAAAATCCTCACAACTGGACCGATATGCAACATCATGATGAATGGGGAAAAGAGAGGTCAAGAATTTAATCTGATTTGGATCCACAATCAACGCCCATGGAAGCAAAACAAACCAAAAAAAAAAAAAAAAAAAAAAAAACCTCACTGCCATGGAGTAAGATCAGACTTATAGCGACCCCTCCTTGAGTTTCTGAGGTAGTATCACTACGGAAATAGATTGCCCAACCTGCCTTCCGAGGAGTGGTTGGTGGGTTTGAATCACCAGCCCTCTGGTTAGCAGTCAAAAGCCTTAGGCACTACGCCACCAGAGTTCCCCCCATGGAAGCAGCAGTCAAGAAATCAAAGAACGTATTGCAGCAAAAGACCAACGTGCACCTGGCCAAGTCAAGCTCTTGTCAATAGCCGCAGATGCATGTAAAAGCTAGAAAATGAGTAAGGAAGATCAATGAACTGACTCATTTTAATTATAGTGTTGGTGAAGCATACTGAATGTACCATGAACTGCCAGAAACAGAACAGAAAATACAAACCCACTGTCACCAAGGCGACTCCGACTCATAGTAACCCTTTTGGACAGAATAAAACTGCCATATTGCGTTTCCAATCTCCAGGGAAGCTGACTGCTTCATCTTTATCCTCAAGAGCGACTGATGGGTTAGAATCACCAATCTTTTGTTTAGCAGCCTAATGCTGTAACCATTATGCCACCAGAGCTCCTTATGAACTGCCAAAAGAATAAACAAATCTGTCTTGCATGAAATACAGCTGGAGTGCTCCTTAGAAGCAAGGATGGAGAGACTTCGCTTCTATTTTGGTCATGTTGCCAGGAGGGGCCAGTCCCTAGAGAAGGGCATCACGCTTGCTGGAGGGTCAGAGAAAAAGAGGAAGAATCTTAATGAGATGGATTGATACAGTCCTGGCCAAACGGGCTCAACCATAGCAGCGATTGTGAGGACCGCAGTGACCCCGTCGTGTTTCGTTCTGTTGCGCATGGGATCGCCTTGACTCGCAATCAGCTACAGCACAAACAAGTGACCGCCCCCGCCAGAGCAACGGCCAAACGCGTGCGCGGTGAACATAAAAGCCCGCTGCGCCTGCGCACGACGTCGCTGTCGCTCCTCCTCCTTTTCCATTCTCCTCCCCTCCGGGGCTGAATGGGCTTCGGGGACGCAGTGCGTTGGGTAACCGCCAGCTCTTCGTCTAGCGCCCGCGCGGAAGGAACGAGGCCTCTGAGGGGAGCGGCGACTCCGCCGGCCCCGGTCTCTTTCCCTGGCGGAGGCGGTGGCTTCTTCCGTGGGACAATATGTTCAAGAGAATGGCCGAATTTGGGCCTGACTCCGGCGGGAGAGTGAAGGTCAGTGCCGGCCTGCGACTCCGTTCCGGGGGTGGCCCTCACGCCCTGGCCCCTCCCAGCGCGGCTTGCTTCGCTTTCGCGGGTTCTCTCCTTTGGTTTGAATCGTGGTTTGAAAGCGGACGGTGAGTCAAAACTCCTGAGCCAACAATCAGTATTTCGTTGGGCTAGAGATCACTAAGTCAGTAACCCGCCCCGCTTCCCCACTAAAAAATAATCAGTGATGACCTGGTTGGAGCTGGATGTTACTGAGGAAACAGGCCATTTAGAAGGCTAGGGAATCCTGGCTAGCTGCTCACCTCGCTGCCAGTCCTGGGCATTAGCAAACGGGATGCCACCACCTAGCTGTGAAGATTGTAACGTTAGTAACAAATATTCGATAAGCGTTTACCAAACGGTAAACCCAGCACTGCCTAAACACTTTACTCGATGCTCTGATTTAATCCTTGCCGCAGTGTTGTTTGTTGTTATGTGCCGTTGAGTCGGACCCGACTCATAGCGACCCCTCCTTGGGTTTCCAAGGCAGTATCACTACGGAAGTAGATTGCCCAGCCTTCCTTCCGAGCTGTGGCTGGTGGGTTTGAAACGCCAGCCCTCTGGTTAGCAGTCAAGTGCCTTAGGCACTCCGCTGCCAGAGCTTCTTTGCCACAATAGTACCAAAAAAAAAAAAAAAAAAAAACCACTAGAGGAGTGGGGTTACACTAATAGGTATTAGATTTAGTTGTTGATTATCCAGCCACAATGAAAAATTTTTCCATTTTGTTCACTATTTTTCCTCGTTTTCACGTTATTGATCACCTTGGCACAGCCCTTTTCATGTGTAGCTCGACTTGTTCTTTGTCCTTCAGGTACATTTCTACTATTGAAAAAATTGGTCCCAGATTCACTCGCAGCATTCTGTATTTTCACTTGAAATTTCTTATCTTCTCTTTATTTCCATCATAATCTGTCAATGCTCACTGCCTTTCTATATCAGATATGATGAGAGACATGTTGAATGTATGAATGTAGCCAGCATGCCATAGCCAGTGTTTACTAAGCTTCAGTCATACAGGGCTAAGCATACAGGGCCTCCTTACTGTTTTTGCCCTATCTCAGTCCAACTGTGATACTTATTTTAACATTTTTATTTAAATCAATTCAATTAAAAAAAACCCTTCATAATCATTAATATTTTTAAATTGTGGATTTGATTTGCTATTTGTAGTAACGTTTTTCCTAATATTGATTAAATAGCAAAATGAAAACTGTTTGCCTTTGTTCTACCTGGCTTCCTCTCACAAACTGCCTTGATATATGCATCATCTTTATTAAACACTTAATAGGCTGATTACAGAGGAGATGATGGACTAAAATGTCCACAAACTACTGATATAACCATCTGGTGATGGTAGTCAACATTGGAATTTTTTTATTCTGGAGCCTAGCTTAATACTTTGTAAATAAGACATGTTTTGTGCTTCTTTTTACAAAACCTTCAGTAGCTTTAATGTGTATTGTGGTAGTTATGTTTGTGTGTCAACTTGGCTGGGCCTGGTTGAGTGGCTTGGCAGCTGGTGGTAGTTATTCCCCATGAGGAGACTGGCAATCAACTCCATGGTGGGATCTCCACAAGCAGCTGAATAGCTGCCTTTGGGATGTGGTCTGCTTCCTGTATATAAAGAGAATCCTTGGAAATGGTCTCTAGCTTATGGCATGCTTGGACCCTGCATATAGCCGTGTCATTGTTCAGCAGCCTGCTATGCTCTGTCGACCTTGGGACTTACAATGGACTTGAATTAATGTGGTTTGGTAACATTGGGACTGTGCCTTTTTACCTGTCAACCTTGGGCTTGGCAGCCTCAGCAGCCAGCCAACAGCTGTCTGAGAGAAGAAAAGCCTCTAGGTTTAGTGGGCTGGGAGCTGGAGGCAGAGCTGAAGCCCAAGGCTGAGGGGCTTTCACCCAGTTCCTAGAGCTTGGCACTTTGAACTTGGACTTAAAGCTTCCAAATTGTAAGAATAAATTCCTGTTTGTTGAAGCCATCCCATTTGTGGTATATTCTTGTCAGAGCAGTACTAGGTAACCAGAACAGGTATTTAAAAAGACATCTTCAGAATGGGGAATTGTAATTAATCTGGAGTTATTTGTGTTAATATGAAATAAGAACAAGTGTCTGAAGTTGATTTTGTTCTATAGGTTGTTAGGCTGCTGGGGTAATCCATTTCTTAAAACATAGTTTCATAACTCTTATTCTGGTTATTTGAGTAATGGCACAATATTTATTGGCTTTCAAATTATTTTTCTTTTAGGGGGTTACTATTGTTAAACCAATAGTTTATGGTAATGTTGCTCGATACTTTGGAAAGAAAAGAGAAGAAGATGGACACACTCATCAGTGGACAGTATATGTAAAACCATATAGAAATGAGGTAGGCATTTTTTTTCCTATAACTTTTCAAAGCTATAATATATTTTAAGAAAGATTATACTATTCTTTAATAGCAACTTGCCGATTTTAAAGTTAACCCATTATAGAAATTTTGCAAAAAAAAGTTGAATGAGCAACAATGGGTCTGTCCTCATCCAGAGCGTAGAAGAATGAAGAAAACCGGAGAGAGAGACACACACACACTCACACACAGAAACAGTTAGTCCAAGGGACTGGTAGACCATGCAGTCTTCGGCGTATATGACCATGAGACCAGAAGAACTAGATGGTACCTGGCTACCACTATCAAATACTAGGAGGGGGATCTGTATAGGAGATGCTGGATAGAGTGGGAGAACAATGTGGAACAAAACTTAAAATCATTTGGGGGGGAAAAAAAAAGGACCAGGTTTGCTGTTCTGATAGAGCCTGGTGAAACCTCTGAGATTATGACCCCTAGCTGCCCTTCAGGTCTGGAATTGAACTCCCTCATGTGGCTTCCAGCCAAATAAAAGACCAGCATATGGGCTGAACATTAACATCAGGTAGATACACTCCTTGGAGAGATCAGTCAGTAGGAGAACAGAAGGGTAGTATATCCATAGGGAGACACCTTGGAGGACAGGAGTATATGAGGGAAGGACACAGAGAAGAGCTAACTGTGGAAAGGAAGTGGGACGAGAGCTGTTACATTTTGGGAAATTGCAGTCAGTGTCATGAGACAAAATGTGTATGAATTGTTGTATGGAAAATGAATTTGCTCTGTAAAGTTTTGCCCAAATCACAATAAAAATTAGAAAAAAAAGAGTTGAATGAATTTTTTTAAAGTCTTATACTTTGCTAACATTTTTAATAATTTTTTTCCTTCCAAGCTGTGCCTGTAAGTCTGTGTGTATGTGGTACTTTGGGAACATACTGTGTTTGGATTCTTGTATCATGGTGTCCCACTCAACATTCTAAGTGATTTTTGTCAGTAAAAAAGTTTTTAAGTATCAGGATAACTGGGAATCCTCAGGGGGAAAAATTAAATTGAATGCATGCTTATACCAGGATAAATTGCAAATGACCAAATATTTAAATGAAAGAAAGAAAACCATAAAATTATTAGAAGAAACCATGTTGTTGTTGTTGTGTTGTTATGTGCCATCGAGTCAGACCTGACTCCTTGGGTTTATGAGGCATTATCACTATGGAAGTAGATTGCCAAACCTTCCGAGGAATGGTTGGTGAGTTTGAACCACCACCCTTCTGGTTAGCAGTCAAGTGCCTTAGGCACTACGCTACCAGAACTCATAGAATTTTTTTAAATCTCTGATTGAAGAAAGCCTTTTATTCTGACACAAATCTTAGAAGCCATTAAAGAAAATATAAATTCAACTACATAAAAATAAAAACCACTATTAATAAGTCAAATGTAAACAATAAGTTGGAGAAAACATTTGTATCTCGTGTGCTTTGTCCTAGGAGTTCTCTTACAGCGATTGGTCTTACATGTATCTTTGCATTATAAAATACATGCATGCTATTTTTTACTGCCACCTTGTTGGTAAAAGCAGAAAGTTAGAAGCAACTTAAAACTCCATCAGTAAAGGACTGGTTTTGGTTTGGTATGATGTACTGTATTAGCATGCAGGTATCAAAAAGTGAGGATGCTTTTTGTGCATATATGTGAAAGAGCTCCAAAATACATTTCTGTGTATAAAAAATGAAATAACAGTTAGTTTGCCGATGTTTGTCAATATCAAGAGGAAATAAAATATATCCCTTATGTGTCTGTCTCATCTTTTCCTTATATTCCACTGCTACTAAATTACTCTCAGTTTCCCAACGGAATATTCTTAATCAGGTGAGATATAATCAAGGTCGTATTTTGGATCTCACAGATAATGTTTTACTGCTATTCATAAGGTTTTCAGTGACCAGTTTTTCAGAAGTGAAAAACCTGAAACCTATCCACCATTTGTTGCTGTTGTTGTTATGTGCCGTCAAGTCGACCACTCATGACCCTGAAATACCAGTGGCATAGCTTCCAGCATCACAGCAACACACAAACCACCACAGTATGAGAAACTGGCAGACGATTGTGGACAATACAGACAAAATATGACCTTGATTATATCTCACGTGAATTTAGAGATCATCGGAAGACTAGGTTTGATACATTAGCACCAGTGACCGAAGACCTAATGAGTTGTGGGATGACATTAAGAACATCATATATGAAGAAAGCAAAAGATGATAATAATAAACAAAAAAAAACAGCAAAAGGTAATTTAAAAGACAGGAAAGGAAGAAAGACCAAAATGACTCTGAAAAGACCAAAGACACTCTGAAACTTGTTCTTGGATGGAGAGTAGCTAAAGCAAATGGAAGAAATGATGAAATAAAAGAACAGAAGCTTTCAAAGGGTGGCTCGAGAAGACAAAGTATTATAATGAAATGTGCAAAGACCTGGGATTAGAAAACCAAATGGGAAGAACATCCTTGGCATTTCTCAGGCTTGAGTTGCAACATTGAAGGCATCTATGGGCAAAAAGAAGATGGAAGGAATATACAAAGTCACTGTACCAAAAAGAATTGCTTGGCATTCAACCATTTCAAGAGATAGCATATGATCATATGATCCATGAGCATATGACCAATAGTATTGAAGAAAGAAGCGTAAGCTGCAGTGAAGGAAGTGACAGAAAACAAGGCTCCAGGAATGACTTTTGAAGTACTTATTGATGAAAATAAAAGACCGTAGTCTTCAGTATGGATTAGCCTCTGCATAAAGAAAACAAATCTTTACAACTAGACCAATAAGCAGCATCACGATGAATGGAGAAAAGATTGAAGTTATCAGGGATTTCATTTTTCTTGGATCCACAGTCAACACCCATGGAAGCAGCAGTGAGAAAATCAGACATTATACTGCACCAGGCGAATGTGCAGCAAAAGATCTCTTTAAAGTGTTAAAGAGCAAAGATGTCACATTGAAGACTAAAGTGTGCCTAACCCAAGCCATGGTATCTTCATTTGCTTCAGATGTACATGAAAGCTAGACAGAAAATAAAGAATTCCATAGAGGAATTAATTCATTTGAGTTGTGGTATTGGTGACGATTATTGAAAATACCATGGACTACTGGAAGAATGAACAAATCTGTCTTGGAAGAAGTATAGCTGAAATGCTCCTTAGAAGTGAGAATGGCCAGACTTCATCTCACATACTTTGGTTGTGTTGTGAGAAGGGACTAGTCCCTGCTGAAGGACAGTAATAAAGTAGTAAAGGTGAGGATCAACAAAAAAGGGAAAAGACCCTCAATGAGATGGATTGACACAGTGGCTACAATGATGGGCTCAAGCATAGCAGAGATTGTGAGGATTGTACAGGATAGGGCAGTGTTTTGTTCTTTTGCACATAGGGTTGCCATGAGTTGGAACAGACTCAATAGCATGTAATAACAAAAACAACAATACTCTTAAACCTCTGCAATCATTCTTTTCCAGCCACCCCATTGCTATTGATCCTTCAAGTCTTAGTTCAAATATCATTTTCTTTCAGACTACTTTCTTGACTTCAAAAGACTAACTTAGGTGCCCTCCTTATATGTTTGTGCCTAAACGCCTTCCTAACACATATTACTTTGTGTTGTAAGTGCTTATTTTCTTGTTTTTCCCCCACCTCACTGTGAGCTTCTTGACAGTAAGTCCCTATTTTATTTACCATTACATACTTTGTGTCTGGTACAACATACTATATACAATATAGTCACTCTAATATTTGTAGAAGAAATTAATGAAAATGTTACTAAAAGAGTTCAGAAATGTTTATAAAATCTGACTCAGAAGAAATGCTCATAAATAATGTAACAGGAGGAAGTACAGTGCAGTGAATTGCTTAGGATAGCCCTTCTAGCCATAGTCTTGTGAGTTCCACCAGATGACTGAATGAAGCTATGTAAATGTAAGGTGCTTGTAGTTCACCAAGGGGATTGGATAGCTTTTTAATCATGTATATAAGGTATCTGGGAGCTCTGGGAGCATAGTGACTACGGCACTTGACTGCTAACCAGAAGGCTGGTGGTTCAAATCCACCAGCCACTCCTTGGAAGGAAGATGGGGCAATCTACTCCCGTAGTGATACTGCCTCGGAAACCCAAGGAGGGGTCGCTATGAGTCGGGGCCGACTCGACAGCAAACAACAACAACAATAAGGTATCTGGACCCTTGTGGGGGTGTTGTTGTTGTTATTGTTATGTGCCGTCGAGATGGACCCGACTCATAGCGGCCCCTCCGTGGGTTTCCGAGGCAGTATCACAATGGAAGTAGACTGCCCCATCTTCCTTCCGAGGAGTGGCTGATGGTTTTAAACTGCCAGCCTTTTGGTTAGCAGTCAAGTGCCTTAGACACTACGCTACCAGAGCTCCTTTTGTGGGGGTTGTTGTTGTTGTTGTTGTTTGCCGTCGAGTCGGCCCCAACTCATAGCGACCCCTCCTTGGGTTTCTGAGGCAGTATCACTATGGAAGTAGATTGCCCAATCTTCCTTCCAAGGAGTGGCTGGTGGGTTTAAACCACCAGCCTCCTGGTTAGCAGTCAAGTGCCTTAGGCACTATGCTACCAGAGCTCCTTTTGTGGGGGTAGGACTTTGCAAATTAAGGTGTTTGGAACCATAATGTGAGTATTGGTCAGTTTTGCCATCTTGTTAGGCTTAATATGAGCTATCCCAGAGGTGGAAAGTAGGAGAGCACACTACCATCAAGAAAGAAAAGCCAGGAATGAACCCACGATTCCTGCACTGAGATAAGCAGCAGAGAGACTGTGACAGCAAAGGCAGAAGAACCAAGAGACCTGCATGAGACAGAGCAGTGGGCTTCCCAGTCCACTGAGCAAGAAAGCTGAGTGCCTTCATGTAAAAGGCTTGGGTAGAGTGGGGTACCTTTGTGGCAGCAGCAGAGCTAAAAGCTTTGTAACACTTGCCTGAGCAGGGCAAAGGCCAGCCTGAGAGGCTAAGGGCCAGAGAGAGGCATGCCTGTAAGTATGGCTGAGGGAAGGCTGTCCTGTTCAGAGAATTGTATCCTGAATATTCCTGAATCTGAATTGTAACTTGTTACTTCCCTAATATATCCATAATTTTGAATATTGTCTGTGAGTTCTGTGTGCCACTGCAATGAATTTTTGAACCCAGCAGAATAGAGTGTCATGGGAGGGATGGTTGGTGTCAGAATTGGCAGAAAGGTTAGAGGGTTGGTGGCATGGCTGACCTCAGCCTAATAGGAAACAGTCTTGGGTTGCTCATGGTGATTTTCTCTCCCCCCTTGAGCAGTTACAGGAGGTCAGAAGACAATGCCCCATGCGTTTTTGCAGTAAGATTAAGATATTACCATATGATCCCAATTTTATTTTTTAAAAACTAAATATATGTGGCTGTAAGTCAGTCATAAAATAACAAATACTTTATGATCCTACTTATGTGAAATAGGCAAATGTATAGAGACCAAAGATTATTAATGGTTACCAGGCTGGAAGAGAAGGGGTGGGAGGTAGGGTCATTGCTTTGGGGACTCTGAATTTCTGTTAAGGGTGATAAAAAGATTTGGAAACAGATAGTGATGATGGTTGCATGATGTTGTGAATGTAATTAATGTCACTGAATTGTATGTTAAGAAAATGTTGAAAATGCAAATATTTTGTTATATTAATTTTTACCACAATTAAACAAAACTGATTTAGAGTTAAAAATAAGGTTTGTAAAACAAATTAGGGGCATATATATTCCTATGTATTAAAATTAATTCATAATTAATGAAAAAATTCAGCACAAACTTCCTTTGTTTTTTTAAAAAAAGAACTTCCCAAATATAATCCGTATTTTTTAGGAAAATAGATTTCATAAAATATGAGGAGAAATTCATAAAATTAGATTTATATGCACAGTGTGTTTCTCTCCTAGATTTTATATATAGATGGAAGAATAATAAATTTTTCTAATTAAATTTTAGGATATGTCAGCATATGTGAAGAAAATCCAGTTTAAATTACATGAAAGCTATGGCAATCCTTTAAGAGGTACAGTATAATTTATTTTATTCATAATATTACAAATTTAAAAGAAGCTAAGAAACAAAAGTAAATTGTACACTTTTAATTTTTTTCTCTTCAGTTGTTACTAAGCCTCCATATGAAATTACTGAAACAGGATGGGGTGAATTTGAAATAATCATCAAAATATTTTTCATTGACCCTAATGAAAGACCTGTGAGTAATATTATTCTTTGTAAATATAAAACAGTTGTTAGTAATTGTGGAAATGTATCAGTACTTAGTGAATAGCTGGTTATATGTTGATACTTTTATTCAGTTCTTTATGTAAGCTTAGTACAAGGTATATTTTGACATGAGTTATTTTCCATTTTAAAGTGAAGTGCCTTTCAAAATCTCTCTTCCCTTTTCTTTGAAGTACAGAAATAAGATATAATGTAAATATGTAACGAAAGAAACCCTGAAAATTACATGGTTATTGCAGCTAAAAAAAGTTTAAAGTTCATTAGTATCAATTGAGTTTTATAAATAAGCAAGTTGAGTCCATGTGCTGTCTGAAAGAGGAATATCCATTTTTTAAATAATAAAGCACCACAGAAATAATCTTTTTGCTTTTTCAAGCTGCCGCCAGTACTGGCAGCTTTACGTTGTCTTATCATGAATTCTTACTTACAACCACTGAGTTTTTCATCTTTTTATCTTTTATCAGATTATTGTTTGATAATATAAAAATCCCTCAAAGCTTTTGCTTTTGTAAGTTAACTTTGTGACTTTTTTATAAATCAACTTTGGCAACTTTGTGAGGTTGATAATACTTTTATTTTAGATAAGGGTGCCAAGGCTCAGAGATCAAGTCACATACTCAAGAACACTGTTAATTCTGGAAGAGCTAGTTTTTGATGGTAGTATTTGAGTCAGACCATGTATTTTTTCCAGTACTGTTTCTTTTGACTAAAACTACCAAGCCTTTTTTTTATGTATACGATCACAATTCAGTTATGACTCATTCCATATTTGTGTAGCCAAGTTTAACTGCAATCTCAAGGCTTTCACATTTACCCCCATTAGTTTTCATTTAGAGTCAGCTCTTTCTTTAGCATGAAACATTTATACTTTAATTATCAGAATATATATTTTTTCAATCTATGTAAAGTGCTTTTAAAGAATTTGAGCTGATTCTCATCTAGGCCAGTAGTTTAGAAAACTAGTTTCTAACTGGCTACATCAGAAATAGCTGAGGTGGCAATTCCAGTCCGGATTGCATCAGCATTCTTTAAGGACATGGAAAAACCAATCACTAATTTTATATGGAAAGGAAAGAGCCCTTGGATAACAAAGCACTACTGAAGAAGAGGCAAAAAGTAGGCAGTCTTACACTTACCAATCTCAAAACCTACTGTACAGCCATGGTAGTCAAAACAGTCTGGTGTTGGTACAACAATAGACACATAGATGAATAGAACAGATTTAAGAACCCAGAAATAGATCCATCCACCTATGGTCAGCTGATCTTTGACAAAGGGCTGAAATCCATTCAATGGGGAAAAGATAGTCTCTTTCACAAACAGTACTGGCAAAACTGGATATCCATTTGCAGAAAAATGAAACAAGATCCATAGCTCACACCATACACGAAAACTAACTCCAGATGGATCAAAGATTTAAATGTAAAACCTAAAACTAAAGTTCATCAAAATAAAAATAAGGACAAATTTAAGGACCCTAATTTATTTATGTCATAAATAAACTGCTAAGCATAACCCAAAATGCACAAACAATAGAAGATAAACTAGATGACTGGGACTTTCTGAAAATTAAATTCTTAGGTGCATCAGAAGAGTTCTCCAAAAGAATTAAAAGAGAACCACAGATTGGGAAAAATTTGACAACGATGTATCTGACAAGGCACTTGTCTCTCAAATTTATAGAAAACTCCAACACCTTAACATGAAAAAGACGAACAGTCCAATTAAAAAATGGGCAACAGACACTTCACCAAAGAAGTTATTCAGGCAACCAACAAACACATGAAGAAATGTTCTCAATCATTAGCTAGTAGAGAGATGCAAATCAAAACAATGAAATACCCCAGCATTTACAGCAAAGTTCAACAAGACAAAATAAATGCTGGTGAGAATGTAGAGATTGGAACTCTGGTACACTGCTGGTGGGACTGAAAAGTGATACAACCACTATGGAAAACGATATGGCAATTCCTTAAAAAGTTGGAATTAGAAATACCACTTGATCCGGCAATTCCATTACTAGGTATATATCCTGAAAAGGTGAGAGCAAGACATGAATAGATATCTGCAGCACTATTTACAATAGCAAAGAGGTGGAAACACCTTAAGTGCCCATCACCAGAGGAACGGATAACCAAACTGTGGTATATACACATAGTGGAATACTATGCTGAAGAATAATGTACAATCTGCAAAGCACCTCAATATGGATCCTCAACTTGGAGGATGTTGCTGTTGTTAGTAGGTGCTATTGAGTCAGCTCTGACTCATAGCGACCCTGTGTACAGCAGAATAAAACACTGCCCAGTCATGTGCTATCCTCACAATTCTTGATATACCTAATGCCATAGTTGCATCCACTGTGTCAATCCATCTCAAAATGTCTTCCTCTTTTTCGCGGACCCTCCACTTTACCAAGCATGATATCTTTCTCCTGGGAATGGTCCCTTCTGACATGACCAAAGTATGTAAGACAAAGTTAGTCCTCCAGTGGAGGACATTATGCTGAGTGAAATAAGTCAATCACAGAAGGACAAATACTGTATTAGTCCACTGGTGTAAAAAGCCAAGGAAAGGTTTACATATAGAAGGAAATTTTCTTTGTTGGTTACCAGGGATGGGAGGGGAGGAGAGGGAAAATTGCTAGGTAGGTAGGAGATAAGTATTAATTGGGTAAAGGGAAAGGCAGTATGCAAAAAGCGAGTGACCAGCACAGTAATACTAAGGAAAAGGAAAACACAGCAAGGTGCCCAAGAGGTACAGACAACAAAGATAATAAACACATTTGCACACACCGTACTGCATTCAGTAATAACAAACATTAATTTGTGAGTAGATACCCAGGTAGACAGGCTGAATGATTTTTTTTTTATATATATATATAAAAAGAAAACTGAGGTGATTTTAAGAAATTCAAATTCCTAGACACCCCCCACCTCGCCCCCAGAGTCTTATTCAGTCGTTTTATTTATTTATTTATTTATTTTTGGCATTTAGTCCCTTTATTAAGGTTTTTTTTTTTTTAATTAGGATTTGGGTGAAGATTTACAGAGTAAATTCACTTTTCATACAGCAGTTCACATATACTTTGTCTCATGTCATTGACCAAAATTTACAATGCAGCAGCTCCCCTCCCACTTCCTCCCAATAGTTACCTCCTCCCAGTGTCCATCCCCTCATACTCTTCTGCACCCTGAGAGGCCCATTGTCTGCCAACCCTGTATATGATCTTGGATACACTCTCCATTTAGACATACATAATTGTTTAGCTTGTTCACCCATCTATCCGTCCCTATACCCATGTTTGCTTTCATTGACAACTCAGTATTGTATTTGCAAAGGGGTTCATATTTGTTGTTTGTACTGCCCATGTAACTGTCTCTGTCTTTCTCATCCTCAATGCTGCCATATTGGTCACTCACATTTGGTTTCAGTCGTTTTATTATGGGGCCAGCACCACAGGTGATTTTGATGCACGGATTTGGTATCCATTAAAGTTGGGTAATCTATTTCCATAGTGATACTGTCTCAGAAACCCAAGGAGGGGTCACTATGAGTCATACCCAACTTGACAGCAGTGAGTTTGGTATTTGGTTTTTAATGTATGTCATTCTCCCACATAGAAATTCCTTTAGGTAGTTGTTTTGGTTACCTAGTGCTGCTCTGACAAGAAATATATCACAGATGGGATGGCCTTAACAAACAGGAGTTTATTCTTACAATTTGGAGACTTTAAGTCTTAGTTCAAAGTGCCAGGCTCTAGGGACTTGGTGAAAGCCCCTCAACCTTGGAATCCAGGTCCGCCTCCTGGTCCTGGCCTACTGGAGCTAGAAACGTTTCTTCACTCAGACAGTTGCTGGTTGCTGAGGCTGAGAAGCCTCAAGGTTGACAAGTAAAAAGGCACAGTCCCGATGTTACCAAACCACACAGCAGGCCATTAACTTAAGTCCATTGTAAGTCCCAAGGTCGGCAGAGCATAGCAGGCTGCTGAATAACGACACAGCTACATTCTGGGTCCAAGCGTGCCATAAGCTAGAGACCATTCCCAAGGCTTCTCCTTGTATACAGGAAGCAGACCACATCCCAAACGCAGCTACTCAGCTGCTTGTGGTAGATCCCACCATGGAGCTGATTGCCAGTCTCCTCATGGGGAATAACTACCACCAGCTGCCAAGCCACTCAACCAGGCCAGCCAAGTTGACACAAACATAACTACTACAGTAGTCTTCCAGGTGAGCATCTGGTTTGGACTTGACTATATGGAGAGTATTCAGTTCTGTCATTAACTGAAAAACATCCTATGCCGGTTTGAGGTAGTTCACTTTTAAAAAGCTCTACTTGATGGTGAGCTTCCTTGAACTTTTTACTGACAGCTGTTCATACATTAGCTTTCTTTTCTCTTGCATAAACATCCGTACCTCATTTAAATATTTTTGTCATGGGGTTTCCAGATTCCCTATCATTTATTGCCCTTCTGGAATATGCTCACAGACATTTTATCCTATTTGGCAAGAAATTATTAAACACTGATTATTTGCAAGATACTATTCAAAGGATTGTGAAAGATAATAAAAGTGAGACACTGGGCTTATCTTAATAGACTGGTCTATTAGAAAAAGCACAGAATTTAGCAGATGTTGAGATGGATAGAGAAGAAGCAGCTGATGTTACTAAAGCCTATGCTTTTTTTAACTTTATAAGATTTCTTTAGGTTCATTTCTATTTGAGAATGTGCTGTATTTCCTTTCTGTCTCCCCATTGGAAAATACATTTCGGAAGGAAATCATTGTGTCCTATAACCTCATTATGAGAGAGCCGTCTAAGTCAGTTCTTGGAAAGGTAAAGTAGTAAAGTGTAATGCACTTCAGCAATGATCTATCTATTAAATAGGTTCCCATGTAGATCTACATAGGCCTGAATTCTGTTCCCTAAAAAGCATTAAAGTATTATAATAGTTGATAAAATTTTTTT